CAGTCGCATTATGTATTATAACTATATTTTACTGTTCTTTATATATGTTTATGTATTAATGTTCATTTTTCATTTTTTTTTATTTTTAGAACCTTCATATAGTGTTCGTAAATGAATATAGAAGATATAATTTTGAAAATTATTATTTTATGTTTGCATTTTCTTTTGCTCTTTTTCTCTCTCTACTTCCTGCTGTCGCTAATATATATGGTTATGATGAACTTCTTAGGTATGTATAATATTATACTATTGTATATATAAATGTACGTACGTACTATTTCTAGGTCTGCGACCGGGTACATGCCTATGCACAATAAAAAGTACAGGCATGTTTGGACATGGTTAGTGATTATTTCCACAATTGTGGCAAACATTTCTAATTTTAGTAATTCCACAACTGTGTGACAAACATTTCCAATTTTACTACAATTTATGCAAAAGTTGTAGTTTGATATCCTGTAAATTCTCGCATCAAAATGTTCCTTCTGCCTAAATTTTGAATTAGTAAAATTGTTAATAGTCAATTCCTCAAGTTGAGGAATCAAAAATAATTCACTGCATCATTAGGCATTGGCATTGGTATTCTACCGCATTACTAGCGATAGTATATATTTGTTTATTGCATAACTATAAATTTTTTTGGTTGTGCCGAAACTATGTCCGACATTTTATGCCCATACTCTTATAGTGCCTAGCATTTCGTGCCTTTATTTGACCTAATTTATTTTATTTCATATATTTATATTGATTAATATCTATTACAGTGGTTGTTGGTATCGTAATTCTGGTCAACATTCTATTTTCATATGGGAATGGGTTACCTTTTACGGTTGGATATATGCATCTATATTGTATTGTGTGATCGTCATTATTATGGTCATTGTAAAACTCAACTCAGTGGCAAAACAAATCGATACTTTGGATTTTTCTTCAACTTCTCGGTCATCTAGTCATCCCCCCTTAATTAATAGGGCTATGATTTCATCTGTTGTCAAAAGAGTCATTTGGTATCCTGTGTTGCCGTTAGCTCAAATTTTTGGTGGCATCAATGATACTTGCTATTATATTAATTATGAAGTCCCTTACCCACTTAAGTTCATTTGCTCTATTTGCTTATCACTTCAAGGTATTTACACGTTATATATATGAATATATTTTCGTTATTATTTGAAAATTCTTTGATTATTGGTTTTATCTATTACGCCTTAGGATTCTTGAATGCTTTAGTATTTGCACAAGATATCGCTGTTACTCGTACTTTCCAGGCTATTAAACTACAATGGTGGATCTCCATTGTTAACTCTTATGAGTCTCATTATCCTCATAAATCTCACAACAAAGCCATTGGACGAAAATCAAATGATCTAAATTACAATAATGCTGATATCATTAAAAGTGATATTATTAATGACGATGTTATTGATAATAATATTATCAACGAAGAAATTAATAATAAAAATTTTATTAATAAAAATAATTACATTAATAATAGAACTAATAATAGTATAGTTTCACAACCTTCTCTCTTAGAGTGGTTAAGATACATGCTATTAATTAAACTTTTCTCTCCTCCAAAAATTCGACCTCGAGAAATTTCATCTGATCATTTATCATCGAATAATTCCTTTGGAGGCAATGAGCCTTCTGTTCTTGTTGATGGTGAAGTTCAAGGTATTAAACCTGTTCATTCAAAAGATTCTTACCAACATTCCTCTATTGAACCAACAAAAAGAATATCAAGAATATCCGAAGAATTTAAAGAAATTGAAACAACGTTAAGAAGACTTTAAAACGTTTTTTCTATTAATTTATTTCAATTTATTGTAAAAGAATTTTTTTTCATTTCATGCATTTGCTCGATTTTCACCGATCATGAAATGACCTGGGTCAATTTGCGATTCCGATTATGAGACCACAGCAATTTAATAAACTCCTGATAATAATTACTTATTATATAATTTATTAATAATGAAAAGGACAATTGTATTTTATCAATGATAATGATAATTATTAAGATCACAAAAGCATCAAATAAACAAAATAACTGGCAAAAATATACATAAAAAATTTATGCAATAATTAAATAAATATAGATTTAGTTCTTTTCTTGGCCTTTAGGTTATACAAGATACAATTAGCAAAAATAAAATCAAAATATAAGCAAAATTAAATAAAAAAAGAATAGAAATTATAGCATCACTATAAATGAAAAAAATGAATATAGGTCAACAGGTCTCACATTTCTGTTCTTTTTCAAGATTATAATATAGTTACAAATAAAAAACAAATGCAAATACTAACAATACTACATTCTAAAATAATAAAATTAACAACAAACAAGACCTTACATATTTAGATTTATCAGTTAAGAAAAGTTATACTCTTCTTTCTGGATTTTAAAACAACAAAAAAAATGAGTAATCCAGCTTACTCCTGACAAATTTTATTAAAATATCATCATATATAAATAATAACAATAATAAACCAATACAAACTAATTTTGATAACATTTTAATGGCATCTTAATAATTATATTATTATTTTTTACAATTATCATATACATATTACTATCTCTTAAACTGTATTTTAAATAAATTTGCCTAGAAAATTAAATTATATTTAGTATTTTTTAAATAAAATAATAATTTATTAATAATATAGATATATTTTGTTTATGAAATATATTCTTAAAAATATATTTTATAAACTTTATTATAAAAATTTTTTCAAAATATTAATAAACTTTTATGTATT